CATTTTAATGCCACGGAAAAGTAGTGTTTGTGTTTGAAACCACCAAAGCTGCCAGAGCTAACTGTCTGCTTTAGGATTATAGTCAGATGATGAGAAAGGGTTTATGGCTGATATTATGCACCGGTGCTTTGGTAAATGAGTATCTCTTTGTGTGTGTGTGTCTCACTCTCTCTCTTTTGTTTGTGGAAACTATGGCTATGGCTTTACCTCTACTCTTTTTTCTCGACAGTAATAGCACAAAAACAGAAAAGGAGACAAATATAAACCGTGCGTGTGCTGGTGTAGCCGGGCATACAAATGTGTGTGATGGATAGAGGGCTTTACGAGAGAGGAATAGGCTAATGACCAGGTCTCCAGAGACGGAAAGATTGCCGGAGCTATTACTGTCAGAGTTCATAATGGTCTCTTTGCTTGGCCTCTTTTTTTTACAAGCTATTTAACGGGAGATCCTACAGTTCGTTGCCAAGTATTACCCAGAGAACACACATGCATCCGTGGACGCTGACTCCAGTCATTTATACAAACGCGAATAACGCAGAGAGCAGCAAACTTCAAGTTCATGCAGTTGTCTTGTGTGTCATTCAACCACACACACAAACAGACACACACACTACATACTGTATAGAACCTGTGTAGGTCACAAAGGATGGAGGTGAGACCCAGCTCAGAAAAAAAAAAACAGTCTGCCGGCAGCGAGCAAGCCAAACCATAAATCATGTCAGGCTACACTAGTCTCTGCAGACACCCACACACACACACACACACTCAGAGGTGTGTGTACACGTGTACATTCTCGTTTACTCTCCTGTTTTCTCCTGTGTTGGTCCAAGTACTTCACAGGAGGCCGGGAGGATTTTACGAGGAGCCTCGTTTTCTTTTTGTTGCTTCCTTCAGCTCTAGTTATTTCCACAGAGGGTTGCCTATCGGAGAGTGTGTGATTAACGTGAACATCAAGACTGCTAGGCGTGACTACTTTTTTTGTTATCTTAGAAATGCAAAAGGAACACAAGGAAAGGAGAGGAAGGGGAAGGGGGGTAAGAATAAATACAATTAGTGAAGGTAAAAACTGTCACTCTGGAGCCCAGTTCAATGCAAAATAGATGTTAAAAAGATGCAAAGCGGAGCAGCTGCTCGGTCATCAACCTGACAGAGAGATAGTGAAAGAGAGAGAGAGAGAAAGAGAGAAAGAGAGAGAGAGAGAGAGGAACAGAGAGATTATGTATCAAAAGAAATAATGATCAGAATATAAAGGGAGAGCTAGTTGAGCCAGCATGAAGCAGGCTTAATAAGATCATAGCATGATGACAGATAGAAACTATTATATTGCTATCAATTGATTGTATCATGACTGCTAACTCACCACTCCAAGGTTGTGTAACAGCCAACGATAGCAGGAGAATAGCAGCAGAGTTTAAAGGTCAGGTTTATAAGACAGTAGTGAGACCTGCTATGACGTCTGGTTTGGAGACAGTGGCTTTGCTGATAGACAAACATGTGGTGGAGATGGAGATGAAGATACTGAGATTTTCCCTGGGAGTGACCAGGGTGGACAGGACTAGAGATGAGCAGAGCAGAGGAACAGTTAAGGTGGCGCAGTTTGGGATGAAGTCAGAGAAGAGAGGTGGAGAAGAAGAGGAAGACCTCAGAGAAGATTAGAGGATGTCATGAAAGAGAACGTGGGGATAGTTGGTGTCGAAGAGAAGGAAGAGATGATCCGATGTGGTGAAACCTGAAGTGAAGAACCGAAAGAATAAGATGAACCTCATGGTATTTTCAGCTACAAAATCAACACACGCACGCCACCGACTATGCAACCGAAGCATCTGAAGAGTGTGGATTTTGCTTGAGTTATCTACCACAGAGACAACACCAGACTTTTTGTAATTTCACCATCTGTCTCTGTGGTTTCCTCTCTTCTTTCATTTTCATCCTCCTGGGTTTAATTTTATATTTCTGATTGTGGGCTCATCATTTTTAATGCAAGGTGAAAAACACGTTTTACTGTTAGGTTTGATTGTAAAACACAAATTTGCCCGATCTGTTAGACTGCCAAAGGCAAGGACATCAGTAGATCATGCTCCTACAATATACTCCTTTAAAACCCTCATACTGTATTTTACAGAAGACAAAAACTAGTCTCCAACCTTGTTTATTGCTATGGATTTGATTTATTAAATAAATGTTCTCACAGACCAGTTCTCAAGGGGTGGCGGACAGACACATGATGATACAGATAATGATCTAATACAGAATTCCACATGGTATGCATGGCCGGTTTGACACATGATCAGCTGTCACTTCAAACCTGAGCATTACGTAGAATGGTAAGACAATTAACTATATTTTTTAATTTTATCACTGCAATTCTTCATAGCCGCTATTCAATGGAACAGATAAAATACAATTACAAATCAGTACAGTTTCCCCAGCGTGGGATAAATAAAGAAAATATTTCAATTAAAATGTATATATTTTCTTTGCTTCCTCACTGCAGAAGTTCCGTGGGTGCACCACCTTTTGGAAACCACCAGCATACAGCATAAACAACTTTCCCGTCTATTCCCACAATAACTACCATTAGTTTTTAAAAACTTTCCCCAGGGAATGGAGGGAGAGCAGAAACATGCAAAACATAATGTGAAAACAAACATTCAAGACAAAAGATTATCTTGGACTGTTATGACGGTCATAGTTATTAGGTATACTAATTATTTTTATATACCAATTATTCCATATAATCAAATTCTAACAACTAACAACCTTTTGTCGAAACAAAAATTTTAAAACAGTAACATAAGGTGTCATGTTGTACAGCTTGTTTAAGGATTACAGGTCATCGTAGTAGACAACAAGACCCTGACCTTCTGTCAGCAAAGCACAGTTCGCCTAATTTAATAATTCATCGCATGTCTTTGCATTAATTTTACATTAAGGGTGTGGTTCAACACAGTGCTAATGTCGGCATCACATGCTCACTCTGTGTCTTACATGGTGTTCATGTTAGTTTGAACTCCATTACTCTGTTCCAGACAACAATACAGGTCAGTTACTGATTGGATAATTTGCATTAGCATTGAATCAGTTATTTCCAGTCAACGTATATCAATATATGTGTACTTCACTCTCACAACAACAGCACTAACAATAACAATAATGATAATAATGATAATATATAACAGATGACACAAACCTCAGTTTTTCCTCTATTATATGGTTTTTTTTAGAAGGATATAAAGGATAATTCTTTAGAACTATTCTTTGGAAAAGTTGATTAAAAATTAATTTGAATTAATAATAATAATAATATTTCATTGCTAGAGCGCACCATTATTTAAGAAAGTAAACCCAGACCAACGGCTAATTGTTTATCATTACTTAATTTGCAAACATTTTAAGCGTGTTCCGGTTGGTTCCTGTCTTTGTCTCTGCAGTGTAAGTGTCTGTAGACAGTAGCAGCAGTTAAAAGTGGCCTGAACAGACCTTATTGTCTCTAGTGGACAGTAAACATGTCCAGGCTTTGAGGCATCAGCAGTCGGGGGCCACATCTTCCTTCTCTGCATCCCTCCATCTCTCCAGGGAACGTCAGTGGAGCAGGTGCTTGCCCTCCTCCTCCTCCTTCTTCTCCCCCCTCCTCCTACTCTTGCTTGTCGGATACCCCACCTCTCTCTCTCTCTCTGCCCCCCCTGCCCCCCCCCCTCCCTGGGGGCAGTTAACGTGTTGTCCTCCCCACCACATCTCAGCACGAGTGTGTGTGTGTGTTTTACTGCTGCTAGTGAGAGGAGTAGCATCACACGGAGCGTCTGGTTCTTGTTTCTCTACAAGGATGCGGTAAAACTGCAGACTGTCTTTTTATCGGTAAAGCGGTAAGTTGTCAGTTTTTTGTGGGTTTATGTGTGTGTACGCGCGCGCTTGCTCATATTTGTTTGTGTTTTTACGCGTGTATTTGGTATCTACATGAGACCCTGTCTGGTATCGTTATATCTAACAATGGCGTAAGCTTCGTTTAGGTCCAGCTTAAGGCTGTTATTGTTATAGCTAGGGTTAAAGTTCGGGTAAGACGGCACAAAAGCAGTCAATGTAAAGTCCTTAAAAGAATAGCAGTCCCTCGACCCCCTCTCTCTTCGTGTGTGTGTGAGGTTTGACTGGTTCGTTGTAGTAGTTTAATGAGAAATGTGCCTCGTCCTGACAATGAAACCCTGTTTTGCTACTTTAATTTTAGCTTTTTAGTTTTACACTTACATTTAACGCATGTTTTGTCAGCAGTACGCTGTCACCAATATTACACCACCCATGTTTGTGTTCTTAGTTGATTTAAGCCGGTAGACATGGGATGGACCACACTTGTGTTAAAGTATTGAGTGTCAATCACAGTGTTTACCGAACTTACAAGGTGTATGGACGCCATATTGGAAGATAAGCAGCGTTAAATATACACTATCGATTGTCAACACCATTAGCCTCAAATAATTCGCTCGGATAATATTGTCTGAAGTGCATATACTTGTGCTTTTTTAACCGAATCTTCGAAAAAGCTTGGATTAAACTGAAAACAGAAATTAAAAAACAGTTAGACAATTAGTTTTTATGAACATTATATGTTTGACAAGTATTAAATGAGACTGAAAATTGATCTGATCTGAAATTGATTGACTGATCTGAAATTGACGGAGAAAATCATGGAAGGAAGCTCTAACTGCACCATCCATCCACTTATTTCCACACATTGAGGGGCAACGTTTTTGTTTCATTATGCAGCCCAAGCTTCAAACATCTTTTTTTTGTGGCGACTTCAACCTCTGGTCAGACCTCCAGCATGGGTCAGACCAGCCTCACAGTGCCCGGGGCAGTAAGTCAGTCTGTGGCTGACAAGCTAATTGACACAATTGCCATATGGACAGTGAAGAACTGTAGCCAAAACTAATAACAACAATAATAATAATAATAATGTTGATGACAACAGCTTCACTGATGTTTCAAAATAAAGCCTTGATGTGTTCATTTTACATTTATCCATATTAATAATTCCATGTGTTTCCCAGCTGTTTTTCTTTGTGACCCAGGCATGTGCAAGGTAAGGCCCGGAGGCCAGATGCTGCCCTTTCAGCGTTTTAAATATGGCCCGCCAAACTTTTCCAAATCAAATAATTAATATATGTAATATATATTTATTATATTATCATTATACTTCTTACTTTACCCTTTATGCATGACTTTAACATCTGCCCCCCATTCAAATATAGGACAATTGTGGCCTTCATCTCAAAAAGTTTGCCAACGCCTGATCTGACCGATCAACTTTCTGTTCTAGCATTATAATAACAGGGAAATGATTTTTCTCAGGTTATCATGATAAATCGAGATACTCTTAAGTCTATTTAGGCAGCATTAATAACTGTTTAATGCTTCTTTCTGGTTTTCTTGTAGTTAAAGCACCTGCTCTATTGATGTAGCAGTGACATGAGCTGTGAAACGTCAGCCTTCCCCATGTTATTGTGCAGTGTAATGTAATGTCATTCTTCTGGATAAACTTGTCTGTATTCAAACAACATTGTTGTTTGAACTGCTGCTAAAAAAAACTAAGCTGGTGATAGAAGTGAAACTCAGTGTGCGTGTCTGTGTGTCTCCTTGATTTGGCTATGAACACAGCACTTATGGAATTTAGGGAGTAAATTGTGAACCTTTAACAGCAGCTCCATTGTTTGGCACCGACAGATTCTGCTGGGTGCATTAGCATCAGTCAAGCGGATGATGACGCTTTTGTGTGTGTACACAGCCTGCAGGTGGAGTTCAGCACATGCACACACACACACACGGACACACACACAGTACAAGATGCACCATGTGCTGATCCTGACTGCTTAGCAGGGTTTACAGAGGAAACAGTAATCTCTTTGATTACCTCTTTCACATATTGATACCATGAACCCATTATTGTCACTGGCTTCACATTTGCCATGTTCATTAATTGAATTATGATGAGTATATGCAGTGTAGTTTTTGGTCATCTGCATCTACAAGCTTCTGGAAAGTAAAAGCTCCATAAAGAAAATATTAAACATTTTTAAATTAGTCCTCACTACATAGAGTAAAAAGAATGAGAAATATAAATAAGGTTGTATAAAGAGATAAAGCTGTCAGATACAAAGTGTTAATATAGTACACCAGTGGTTTCCAACCATTTTTGGCTTGTGACCCCTTTAGGACATCACAAACTCCTGGCTGATAACAATTTGACAATATAGCAATTTGTTATATTGTGTTGCAAATAGGAGCCAGATTAGTGCACAATGTGACAAACATGTTCCCTGATCACATGTACAATTAGGCAAACTCATATTTTCAATATTATCAGTATTTTTTCTGTATCTTTTTTTCATTATTTTACCATGAATTCTTTTCTTTTCTGTCCCTGGTTAAAAACTATAGCACAATAACTTTTTCAACGCACACCGCTCTTTGGCCGACAACTATTGTACTTTGAGTAAGAAAAGCCTCACTAAATATAAACATGCTGCCAACTGTCAACTGTCAACAACGGCTTTCAGAAAAATTATGGAATTACATTTTTTTCTTTTTGTCAAACCACATATACCTTTAATGTTGTAATGTCACATGTTACAACGCAAGGAATACCTTTTAACACAATAACACACTAACAGAACTGCAGTCAAGCAGATTACAGCCATCACAACACATCTGTCCTGGTTTCTGCAATGAACTTAATTTTGGTCTTTATGTGTGTCTGGCCCTGCCCACAAACTGTCAACAATGCGGTGGAACAAGACATTACTGCTCAGACTTTACTTCACGATTTTTTGTCTGATTCTGATTTTTTGCAAATTGTGTCACCGACTTCCATTTTTTAAGAGCATGAGAGACCAGTGCAAGAAATAATTAGGAAACATCCAGCTTAGTGACTGGAATGAGGCACTAAAGGAAGATTTGTGCAGCCAAAAGCTTGTACTACAGCTGTGTATAATCTGTGTCTGTTCAACAAGCGGTTAAAATTAAACGTAACAAACTAATGATAGTTATACAAACGTCAGATGTAAAACGTATTGCTTTAGAGGTTAGCCAGCAGCAGTCTGCTAATGTAGCATTACATGACTTGCAACATCTCCGGTAATGCTACATTAGAATAAAAATGAACCTGTATGAACTTGGTATGTTGCACTGGATCATGGTGTTGGATTAGGTTTGTCCTTCTGAACGACTTTACTGCAGCCCGCTTTTGGTGATCCCTGCTGTTACATATATTACAAATAGCGGGCAAGGAGCTTTCTTGGTTCATTGTAAAGTATGTCTAATCTAACAACATGTTATGTTGAGTGATGGTGATCTTTCTCTTCTGTTCTGTGACACACAGCCAATGCGCAAAATAAACGGCTGCCGACACTGAGAATAAGCCTATTACGATCACTGCTTGCTTGATGGGTACAACTCTAATTCCAGTTGTAATTTATGAAATCAAAATTACTCATGTGAGTGATTAAAGGAAGGAGAGAGAGAGAGAGAGAGAGAGAGAGAGAGAAAGAGAGAGTTAAAACCTTAGGATTGTTACATTTGTATATAGTGTACACTAGCCAGAGTCTTGGGCACTTTGCTTTAACCAAGCCAATCGCATCAAAACCATGCAGTTGCATTAATGGTAAGAAGTATTTTATGCATTGTATAGTAAAACAACATTTTTCAATTTTTTTAAATAACTTTTTTGATACTTCAGAGACTTCTTATTCTCTAAAATGATTTATCTTGTCAAAAAAAATATTGTCTGGCTTTCACAGAAATACATTTTAAAATATGTGACTTTTTTTTGGCTCTATCTGCTAAAAACGTTCTCGTCCCATTATATAGAACATAGTAGACATGCCTCCGCTCTGACGTTTAATTAAACAGAGTAATGACAGTTTACAAATGTACACATCACAAGTATTTTCCATTAAGTACAGCTTTTTGTGGGTTTTGGAGCTGTGTCCTGCCTGTTTGTTTTATTTGCTGGAGGTGTTTCTTATTACAGTGCGTGCTCTTTTTGCTCCATATAAATGCACGTCGGCTGTTTGTTCCCTATAAGAGTCACATGCATATGCTTTGTGACGCACAACTCCAGAATTTCCAGAGTCAGCTAATCACGTTTGTGTCCGTCTTTGCAGATATTCACAGAGAACGAGAGAGATTAAAATTTTTGTACTTTCAATGATGCCGCTGTTCTGTGTTATGTCACCCTTGTTTACGTTCAAGCGCCTGTTTTCTCGAGCAGATTAGTACGTGAGGAAGTGTAAAGTGTTGTGTGCTGCAGTGACTGGAGCTAGTAAAGTCATTTAGCAGCCTCTGGAGAAACCCGGGAGACTGCTGTGTAGACGCCACTCTGACTACTACCACAGACAAGTTTAAGAGGCTGTAAAATATTTGGCTACTTTTCCTCCTTCTCTCTCCTTCTCTCTCTATTTTATTTCTTCTGTCCTTTGCCTCTCACATTTTCTCATTCACTTTCTCTTTGCTGCTTCTCTTACACGCTTGTCAAGGAGAGACACAAAAAGGCAGGAAGAGATCAATTCTTAGCCATGCTGTTTTTGTTTTATTTTGCCTACTTCTAGCCAGAATTCATCCGGTCATTGATGATTTTTATCACAACAAGCCAACACTGAGAGACAATATCTAACATATTCAATATCAGAGAAGAAGAAATGATAATAAATTACTCATTAATCATACCCTACTTAATAATACAATGCAATACTTACTGCAAAAACATTCACTCTAATTTATTTATATTTTTTTCCACTCTGCTTTGTATTTTATATTCTACCAGTATTTTGTATTTATGTGTCTGGTCTCCACTTGGCTGCGGGGCAGGGCCCGCATAGGAATTCCAGGATGTTTAAACTGTCTGATCTTGAATTGACCAATTTTGGTTGTATTAAAAAGAATTTCAGCATAAGGTTAGCATAAGATGGGCGTACAGTAAGATAAAAAAAAAAACAAGAGTAATCATTCAGTCATCATTTATTTTCAAGTTTCCAGGAAGTGAATGGTTATTAGTGTAATGCATGTCACTGATGTTTGTAGAAGTCGGAGAGAGGAAGCTGTCCGTGCAAACATTCTCAGCCTTAGGAATATTAGTGTGTTACTACACACCTAAAGCAAATTTATCTGAAGACTGTGCGCGCAAAGTTCTGTGGACTTTTATTGTTTGGTTACTGTCAGTAAACACAGATTAGTGATAGAACTTAGTGGCTTCATTACTTTCCTATGTATATGGGTGAGCTTTCAACTGTTGGAAACTGTGTTTGTTTTTTCATCATATGGGAGCACTCTGGGTGCGTCCTCCTTCAAAGATCCACCATGAGACCTTATGTCTTAAGGTCTGCTAAGAGGCTGTATGAAGCTCTGTGTGACTACGACTTCAAAAGTTTGTTTCTGTGCAGGTACAATACTACTGAAGTAGTATCTAGCGGATTTTTGTCTCAATAACTCAACACTCCTGACACAACAACACAACAAGTCCCCAACAACGGGTAATAGTTGGCATTGGTGGCCTTAGTTTGAACCTTTTTGATCTAACTGCGACAAATGAAGCTATTCATCAAGTATATATTAATTATGTTAGAAAGGGAGAGAATGCTAGAAGGCAAGCCGTTTTTGATTTATTTATATATTTAAAACTTTCTTTAATCATCCACAAACATTTTCGTGGTTCCCTGACATTTTTGGATAACTGAGACTAATAACTAGGGCTGTCAAAATCCCTTAATCGACAGTGTTTAATTTGTGAAATTAATTCTTCCACGAATAACCACTTTTCGTTGTATGTCAAGCTTGAAATATTTTCATTTCCTACCCAGCATGCATTTGGGGAGGTTACAACCTAAGGTCACGACCAGCTTGTCAGACCAGCCTCAACAGAGCTGTCTGACAAAGGACTGTAGACTGATTAATATCGTTGAGGACAACAACTTATCTGACATTTTAAAGGCAACTCTTAAACCGTTCCATGCCAAGATCAAGATGCACAGTCATGGTTAAAGTCGACCAACTCTGTAAAGCTAAATTTTGAGTTATTCAATAATTGATATATTATTTATTTTAAATTGTGAAGTCAATGAGACAAATGTGTTAATCTGGGCCATAAAAATAAAATTGACTTGACTTGACATGCACTTGCAAACAAACCCATTTGTACTATAATTTATTTGTTAACCCAATGGCAAATGAAGTGCAATATTGATAATGGAATAGGAATGGTCATATTTCTATACATTTCCATCATAAATTAATAAGGATATATCTTTACCATTTTTTTCTACTGCCCATAGTGATATTTGTTAGAAGCTAGGTGTCATGTTAGGTCAATGACCCCTAGAGTCACTGTGTCGTAAGTGTATATTATTTGGTTTATGTAGTAAGGTTCAAGCTGGAAAGTAAAATCGCTGCTAATATCCAGTGAGGATTTATGTGATTTTATTAGAGCTGAGAAACCGTTACAGTTTTGTTGCTCTCCCCAATCTCATAAAACGTAATGTTAACAACAGTGTTCACATTGCTGCCATAAAACATATTCCCCTTTTTTTGTAGTGTTTATGCATGTAGCCATCACTCTTAAAGAAACATTCCTAAAGGATACTTAACGTGTTTATTTGTATTACGGGTTAGAGAGTTAAAGGTCACTGTCAGATGGCCCCAGACCCGAGTGAACTCAACCCCATCCCCTAGCACAGGGGCGACTGGCAGGGGGACAGATTGATGGATGGGTGGTATAACACAAGCCCCTACCAGGACACACACACACACACACACATTACTCCTTTGTGTCCCCCAACCCACCACCTTCTTCTGCTGCCCTCCCACACTTCTCAGCCACTGCCACCATTGCAACCTACAAAGAGTGAGCACTGAAGAGAAAAAGGTGGGCAAAGGAAAATATAAAATGACAGAGAGCACAGTTTGACAGAGAGAGAGGGAGATAGAGAGAGAGAAAGAGGGGGGCCAAAGGGAGGGCAGGGAGACAGTACTGGAGAGAAAATACAAAGATAGAACGAGCGACAAGAGGGAGGGGGGGGGTGCAGGAGGAGGACAGAGGATGAAGAGAAGAGTGAGTGTAGGGGGGATGGATAGAAAAAGGTCATGTGACCTCATAACAGCTGCAGGGCTGGGAGAGAGTCTCACATAGGAGCAGAAGGATGGCGAGCAGGAGGACAACAGTGAGTAGGAGAGTGTATCTGTTTTCATGTTTGAATTTGTAATGAGCACATGCATATGTTCGTCTGCGTTAGTGTGCATATATGAGCTGTGTATAACACGTCAGTGGGACAGTTCAAAAGAAAGACTGTAAATGGATGGCAAAAAGCAGGAGGTTTCTGTCTGTTAGTTTTTGCTAAATCAGCTCCAGGCTGCTAAGATAAACCATAGAGAGAGAGGGAGAGAGAGAGAGAGAGAGAAGGCTAGGAGGAAAAAGTCAAGAGAGAGGAAGAAATGGAACAAAGCTTGGAGAGAAAGAGTTGATTTAAACTGTCGTACTCAGCAGAGCCTGTCACCTACTCTTTGACATACAAACAACTAAGTCATAAAAAAAGAAACTAGAAGTAGAATGGATGAAAAGTAAATAAAGTAGCCACGTGCTAATTCATTAACCCTTGTAATTATTGACAACAGCAATGTCAAAAGCTGAATGCATACGGAATAAACATGAACCTTTGACAAGTTTCTCTGTGAGACACACACACACACAGAGAGAGAGAGAGACTATATGTCTGTGGGAAAGTGTGTGTTCCTGGAGGTGGTGGTCAAATGTCTAATTGTGTTTTCTCGTAAATGACCCAGGGGCCTTAGATGTGTTGACTGGGTCCCTTGAGAAAAACAGACATGTGTGCACTCATGTATGTGATTTGCTATTAGGATTGCTGCTCTGTTTGACGCTGCTTACTCACGATGATGCCACACACGCACACACACACACTCCAGATCAATTGCAGTCATTGACAGAAGCCTCACCCTCCCTACCCAATTTGCACCCAGTGAATCTCACGCTGTTTCTCGCCACTCCCCAGGTATGAACCATGAATCCAATGAATCACCATCATTAGGAATGATCTCCACAGCAACTTGCACCACAGCCACCGTCAGCCCCCTCAGTCCACTAACCGATGGGAGTGCACTTGCCCAATCTGCAAACTCTGGATTTGCTGCTGCCCTGCGTAAACTGGCCAAACAGGCTGAGGAGCCCAGAGGTGAGTGATAATCTGTCCTCTTTGAAACCCCACAGCTGCTGCTGTGGCTACACATCCTGGAGACTAATCTGTGTGGGTCACACCCAAAACCACACGCTGTCCTGACTGAAATTAGGATGGAATGCAGTTAAAGTAATCACAAATAATAATCGTGATTAAAAAAAGTTTACAGGGGAAATGGTTGGGGTCAGAGTTTAGTCACATTAACCTTTGTTTAGGGTATTTTAGACTTTTGTGCAATGGGCAGTACAATTTGTTTTTGCACTAATATCCAGGTATATAAAGTTGAAATTCTCGGCATTAGAAATAGAAAAAGAATAATCTGTTTTCCTCTTTTGAATTTTATTATATTCTGTAAGACAGGTCTCATTGGTCAGTTACGGTTTCTCTTAACCTTGTATATGTGCAGGCATACCAAGTCACAGAAAACTGTGTGTGTATGTGTGTACCTAGCTCATTAGTTTCCTAATAAAGGTGTTGGATAAAAGCTGACCTTTTCTAACATCCTCCTCTCTTGTCTACGTCTTCATCTATTTCCATTTGCAGCCTTTACAATGACAATCTAATTATTGCCAATTAGAGCAATCTCTCTCTCCCTTCCTCTCCCTCTCTCTCTTTTCCGTACCCTCTGACCCTATTGTTTCTTGATTCTCATGCAGTCCCTTTTCAGGTCTCCACCTTCGTTTATGTTTGTGTGTCACTCAGTTCATATCAGTTGGTTCTTAAACCTTAGAATGAATATTAAGGACAATATCCTCTCACAAATTCTCATCCATTCTTTGGCATCATATATAACACCTCTCCTTTGCTAAGATATCAATATATTTTTGGTGCATAGTTTACACCTATACAGATGGACACTTGTTTTGTGACACATTCCTGTCATCCTCTCAGGTTCTGCAGTCAGTGGGGAGTCATCTCCAGTCCTTCCACCAGTCACCAGCCACAGCTCACCAGTAACCAGCTCACCAGTAACCGCACACAAGCACAGCTCTGTAGGACCTCTCCGGGGACATAACAGGGGTAACTGTGTTCCCAGCACTCCCCCAGTAGTCACCATTGCCCCCACTAAGGCCACCAGGACCGACAGACGACAGGTAAAAAATGGTTTAATCAAACGAGCTTATATTCTGGTGCCCCAGAGAATTTGGGACAATGTGCACTGTTTTTACTCTCACCTTCATCCCCCCTTTTTTCTCTCTCTGTCTCTCTTTCCCCTTCTTTTCTCTTCTTTCTCTGCCACAAATTTGTTGTCTTCATCTCCTCTTTATCCATCCTGCTGCCCGTCACCATCAAACCTCCAAAATCAGTATCCTGGTCTTTATCTTTCTTTTCAATCTAATGAATTCATCTCTAAAAAAAACACCCACACACAAGGGGTTTAAAGAAACAGTGGAGGATGCAA